TTCGGCCTTACCAATGCCCCTGCCGTGTTCCAGGCACTTATCAACGACGTCCTCCGAGACATGTTAAATATATTTGTATTCGTTTATCTGGACGATATACTTATATTTTCCAAGTCCATGGAGGAGCACGAGGGCCATGTCAGCAGGGTTCTCCAAAGACTCCTTGAAAACCATCTCTTTGTCAAGCCAGAAAAATGTGAGTTTCATGTTTCCCTGACTAAGTTTCTTGGGTACATTGTCACCCCTGGTCACCTGGAGATGGACCCTAGTAAGATTAAAGCTGTTCTCAACTGGCCTATTCCAACCACAGTAAAAGAGGTGCAACGGTTTGTGGGCTTTGCAAACTTTTACAGGAAGTTTATCAGGAATTTCAGCTCAGTTGTGGCTCCCTTGACAGCACTGACAAAGGGAGGAGGAGTCAAGATTGAATGGGGTCCTAAAGCAGCGGCTGCCTTCCAGGATCTCAAGGATCGATTCACCTCAGCTCCCATACTCCCTATCCCTAATCCAGACATACCCTTTATGGTAGAGGTAGATGCCTCAGATGTGGGTGTAGGAGCCATTTTATCACAGAGGAATGAGGATGGAAAACTACACCCCTGTGCTTTCATGTCACGTCGCCTGTCTAATGCCGAGCGCAACTACCACGTGGGGGACCGAGAGCTGCTTGCTGTTAAGTTGGCCTTGGAAGAATGGCGCCATTGGCTTGAGGGCGCTCGACATCCTTTCCAGGTACTTACAGACCATAAGAACCTAGAATATCTCCAGCAGGCCAAGCAACTGAACCCTCGGCAGGCTCGATGGTCTCTGTTTTTCAACAGATTTCAGTTCATCCTGACTTATAGACCCGGTTCCAAGAACCTTAAGCCTGATGCCTTGTCCCGAGCCTACTCTCCAGAGACGCATGAAAAACCTGTTTCTTCTATTATTCCTAGTTCAAGGATTGTTGCCCCCCTCAGATGGGATCTGGAACAAGTGGTCCGTAAGGCTCAAACCAAAGAACCTGATCCAGGGAATGGACCGTTGGGGGCTCTATATGTCCCTCGAGCAGTGCGAGCTCAGGTCTTGCAGTGGGGTCATGAGTCTGTATTGACCTGCCACCCAGGTAGTTCCCGTACTTTAGAATTCCTCCGACGTCGCTTTTGGTGGCCTTCCATAAAGGAAGATGTTAAAGGTTATGTGGAGGCCTGCCAAGTATGTTGTCAGGGAAAATCATCACACCAGCGACCTCAGGGACTGCTCCATCCCTTACCTGTTCCCCACAGGCCTTGGTCACACCTTTCCCTGGATTTCATTACAGGACTTCCACTCTCCCAGGGCAACATGGTCATATTGGTTGTGGTGGACCGATTTTCCAAGGCTGCCCGGTTCATTCCTCTGCCCAAGTTGCCATCGGCTAAAGAGACTGCTGAGCTCATAATAAGCCATGTTTTCAGAGTTTTTGGCATTCCCCAAGACATTGTTTCTGACCGAGGTCCACAATTTCTGTCCAGATTCTGGGGGGCTTTTTGCAGACTCTTCGGAACCACTGCCAGCCTATCATCCGGGTTCCATCCTGAGTCTAATGGTCAGACAGAACGAGTTAACCAAGATTTGGAAACCACTCTACGGTGCATGGCAGCCAATAACCCCACCACTTGGTCATCTTACATAATGTGGGCTGAATATGCCCACAACACCCTCAAGTCCTCAGCCACCGGACTTTCCCATTTTGAATGCCAATTTGGTTATTCCCCTCCATTGTTTCCTGAGAAAGAGGTCCAGGTGGGAGTTCCCTCAGCCCAGCACTTTGTTCGACGCTGTCGACGAACCTGGAGGAGAGCTAGAAGCGCTCTCCTTCGAACCTCCCTGAGATACCAACATCAGGCTAATCGCCGTCGTCGAAGGCCTCCTACTTTCCGGGTTGGCCAGAGAGTCTGGTTGGCCACTAAGAACCTTCCACTCCGGGTTGAGTCGAGAAAATTGTCCCAGAGGTTCATCGGGCCATTTAGAATAGCCAGGAAAGTTAACCCTGTTTCTTATCGTTTGTATCTTCCTCGTTCACTTAGAATTAATCCCACATTTCATGTCTCTTTATTAAAACCTGTCTTGTCTTCTCCCTTTGCCCCCCCTCGCAGACCCCCTCCACCTCCCAGGATCATTGACGGCCAGCCAGCCTACACGGTCCACCGGATACTGGATTCCAGGAGGGTCCAGAACTCACTTCAGTATCTGGTTGACTGGGAGGGCTACGGGCCAGAGGAGCGCTCCTGGATTCCTGCCAAAGACATCTTGGACCCTAGTTTAATCCGGGAGTTTCATACCCAGAGGCCAGGGTGTTCTGGTAGGAACGTCAGGAGCCGTTCCTAAAGGAGGGGGTCCTGTCACCATCCTGCAGTTTGTCTCCATTCCCCTAGAGGTCCCCGTGTTTCCCCTCTGTATTTGTTCTTCCTCATGTGTTCTTGTTTACTTAATTTAGATCACCTGTGACTTGTTCCAGCCAGTGTATTTAAGTTGTCACTTTGTCTGTGTTCCTCACTCGGTGTTTGAGTCATCTCTGGTGAACTTGCCTTGCGTTTCCCTTGATCTCCTGAGCTACATCTAGTAAGAGTGTTTTATTTTCCTTGTTGCTGACAGCATTAATTATCTGTTTGTTTTCTCCCCTCGTGGAGTTTTCTTTACATGTTTATTATACTGTTAGAGTATTTTGTATACCTCATTCTGAGAAGAACCTAAGTTGTCTCTTTTGCTACCTCATTTTTGAGAAGAACCTAAGTTGATATTTTTTTTAATAAATGCTTGTTTTCCGGATTCCCTCTTGGAGTGTTTTCGTGTGGGTCCAACACAACTTCCTCTGTGGCTTAGTGGTATACACATCGGTTTCCACACCAGAGACCCGGGTTCAAGACCCAGTCGTGACAATATACTATTAGCAATGTTGACAATGAATATGTAAAAGACAATAAATACGTGAAAAACAATAAATACATAAAGAAAAACACACATTACACACGTGTAGACACAGATAGCCAGTAGACAGTCAAAAAGGTGTACACACAGTTCGACTGTTGATGGAAAGTTATTGTAGGCAATATTGTTTTAAGTAAGGATTCGATTGAAGTGCAGTTCATGCTACATCTTGATGGTATGCAGTGAGGGTATATAGAAAGAGTTTGTGTGAGGTGTGTCAAGTGTTCATCAGCCTTATAGTCTGTGGGAAGAAGCTTTCCTTTAGTCGGCTGGTGCATGACTGGATGCTGCGGAACCGTCTGCATGAGAGTAGTGGAGAGAATAGTTTATGGCTTGGGTAGCTGGAGTCACTGATGATTCTCTCAGCTTTCCTCATGCACCACCTGGTGTAGATGTCCTGGAGAGAAGAAAGCTCACCTCCTACAATGTGGCCAGCAGTTTGCACAACCCTAAGTAGAGCATTGCGATTGCTGCTGGTGCTTTTTCCATACCAGGTGGTGATGGAGCCAGACAGGATGCTCTCCACAGTGCAGGTGTAGAATGAATGGAGGATATGGGGGCTCATTCCAAACCTCCTGAGGCCCCTGAGGAAGAAGAGGCATTGTGTCTTCCTCAGAACTGCATCTGGGCGAGCAGTCCATGTCAGATTCTCAGCGATGTGGACTCCAAGATTAGTACGTTATGTAGTGGTGTTTTGGAAAAATGAATGGTATAGTATTTGTGATATTTGGGGAAAACAATTAAATGTAATTAATTTTATAAGAATATTTAGGTCTTATTTAATGTCAGTTTCGTTTTTTTAAATAAATGATTCAATTGTTCCTTTTGTTATCTGTTTTTCTAGAAAAAATATACATTTTACTCAAACACTTGACTACAAATTGTAAATCCAGAGAAACTGAGATTTTTTAAGTCTAAGATTATCAATGTTTTTATAGCAGTATGATGAAAATACAATAAAAAATGCTGCTAGCTGTTTATTTAAAGTGTTCTTTTAACTTACCATGGATTTACTAGGGTAGCTACAGTAAAGGTAAGAATTCACCAAGCTTGAACTTTCAAATGCAGTGTAATGCGAAACTTCATTATAATGACTTATAATGAAACTTCATCTCACGTGCCGCATTCGCATGTCTAAAAAATTTGATGTTTATGGAGCGAAAACTGTAGTGTGATCGCGGCTTTCTAATAGAAGTAGTTTTACCTACTATTACTAGTTTAACAAACTATTAAGATTATCTAAAATTAGTTAGAAAAGTATCTGCATACTGGAATGGAGTTTAGTTGTTTTACGACTTTTCGTGGCCAAAAACATCCTCTCACATTATTGGTGCTGTGTAAGCATTATCTATTGTACATAGATTTAAAAATAAATTGAAACTATTGCATGCTTTATGATATGGTGTAATAAATGTAAACGTTTCTTATGATTTACCACATATATGTAGACACTGCATGAAAAATTATGTCAAACAATTTACTTGATAGTCTTGGAAAAGTCATGGAATTTTTGTAGTAAAAATGCAAATGAACCCTTATAGTAAATACATTAATTAATATTACTCAGTGGTTAAAGACGTTAAACTGTAACAAGCACATTACAAGTTATAAAGTAAGTTGAACTGAATTGCTTTACTAATTAATGGAATATTAAAAAAAAGCAAACTAAATCAGAATTCTTCAATTGGTTATGATCCCCATGTTTAGTTGGTTTGTATATGGTTTAATGTTTTGTGGCAGTTTTTACCACATTGCCTGTTGAGTGATTATAACAAGATCCCCATCTGTGGCAGGACTGGATTGAAAAATTAGCTTTCTTTTTTTACTCTTCGGTCAGAGGCTGGAGCTGTTTGTAAGCCTGTGGTGGAATCTGGCCTTAAACACATTGTGTGTTGGGCAGCAGAACTGAGGGACGTTGCCCAGGAATTCAGTTGGAATCTCAAACCTCTGCATATCCCATCACAGTCACTCTCGCTGAAACACCACAAACTGCATTGTTCTCTTGCTATGAATAAATGTATGCATATGTGTGTGTGTGTTTTTTTCCTCAGGTTATGAAGAGGTGGTCAGAATCCCCAAAGGATCTGTATTCATACACATCCAAGAGCTCAACATCTCTCTGAATTACTTGGGTGAGACACCATTTTTCATGGTTTGACTTAAATATGAACCTCTCATGAGAACCAGAACTAATACTCTGTTGGGGTTAATGGATTTTGTAAAGAGCTTCTACACTAAATTAAAAGTACAGATTCAAGATGCTTTAAGGTGCCTCTTGTGGATCAGCTGAGATGGTTTTTGACTTTTTCACTTTTTAAAATGAAGTGTTGTACAGTGAAATCGGTTAATGTTTGTTTATGAGGGCAGTTTTTGTAAGTATTAAAGTATGTTTTAATATCTGTTCATCTAACTGTCATGCAACAAAACTTTATGCTTTTGTATGTCAAAAGAAAGAGAGAAACTACTAACAAACTGCCTACTAACATTTGATTGCTGTTGAGCACGTACCCATTTATCACTGATTGGCCATTGTGTTCACATGCTCAACAGAAATGACTCTGATTGGCCATGAAGGTCATCAGTCCACCACTGTTCATTGTGTGCAAACGCAGATACAAGAAAATTAAGCATTTCTAAGCTGCGAAGATCAGTCAATGCATCAGCTGATCGCTCGTATGTCAGTGTGAGCAGATCAGCTCATTGATGCAAATTTCCTGTATCTGTGTGTTCACTCGGTGAACAACTGTGAACTGAAGACTTATCATAGTCATTTTTGTTGAGCATGTGAACACAATGGCCAATCAGCCGTGTTTAAGAACATGCTCAACAGCACTCAATTGTTAGCGGGAAATGGACGTTATAACAAAATACACAATGGCTGCTTTTCAATCCTTCTTCAAAATATCTTTATTTGTGTCTAGCAGAAGAAATAAACAAAGAACTTTTGAACAAGTGAAGGTAGAGTCAATGATGACAGAATTATTTTTTGGGGTGAACTATTCCTTCAAAGCAAATTTTATTTAATTTTTTTTGACCCAGTGCTCATTGTGTACTCACCTAAGATTGAAAACAACTAGTTGTTAGTATAATATACTAGCATAAATAGGCCTGTTACGATATCTATTTTTTTGGTTGTACGATATTTTGCACCAAAATGTATTGCAATAAATGATATTATTGTCACTTTATTTTATGCCACTTATTATACAATGCCAAAATTCAAGTACACTCTACTATAGAACACATAATATCTTATTCTTAAGAATATTTAATTGAATTATAGTCATTTTAACAATGTAATAATGAGGCATTGGAATCAGAATGTCCCAAATCAATTCTAATAAATGTTAACAAAAAAGTGCAAGGCAAAAAGTAACAGAGGCTGCGATATCTGCTATGAGATCTATTTTCAGTTGTCAGACCCCAAATGAAACCATACTAAGTAACATTACAAATTAATTTATAGTAAATACTATAAAGTTTTTTTTACCCATACTAACACTAACAGCTCCAACAGAGATAGAGAGGTTGCACAATTAGCTAAAATGTTGCAAGAATTGTTTTTTATGTATAGACGATGTATATTGCATTACCAAAATTGATTGAGGTCATGTCGATGTGTTGTGTGGTAACTAATTCTGCATTTTTTCAGTGCCAAATAGTCTGTTATGTATTGCGGCCTGCTAATTATTTCCATTATCACCAGTGTTGAAGAGCAAAGGGGATCAGTACTTCATCAATGGCAAGCTGACCATCGATACACCGCGCCGCTTCGACATTGCCGGTGGTACCTTCCACTACCGGCGACCCGCCAATGAACCAGAGACCCTGGAAGCTCTCGGACCTACCAACATGACCCTGATCGTGATGGTAAGTCAGAGATGCTGGGTGGTCTGTTCAAGCAGGATATTTGTGCTCTGCCTCTGTTGGTACAGATGCCTCAGAATTTAGACAGCTGCAATGTATTTGCTATGGGGTCAAGTGTAATTTTCTGGACAAATGTTATTTAAAGCTGAAGTGCTTTTTTTTTGTTAAAAAACTTTTGGTATCTTGGTTTGATTTGCTGGAGGAACAATGGGAAAGCCACTTGTAGGTTAATTGCCTGAAAAGTGTAAACAATGTAGATTTGTTTTTCGATTGGCCGTTCAGATTAGCCCGGCAAAGCAACCACGGTTCATTTTGGGTCAGAACTATATGTCCGAGCAATGGAAGATGTGGATTTTTTGTGAAATTTACCAAAAACTTACTTTATTTACTATTAAAAGGGTTAATTCCATTTTGAAGATCCATCCAAGTTTAAAATGAGATCTTTCTTAAAGGCAAAATATATATATGTTTATTCAAATACAAAAAAACTGTAGACTTGTAATATATACAGTATTTAACTGACTTACATTATTCCAAATGTTTTGAATAAATGAAGAATGTTGAAATGAAAATTAGCACTTTTTACTAAGACACAGTTCATGCAGTTCGTTTAGGCAGGTGTGAATGTACCAATTGCACTCAAGTGCGCACCAAAAGTGGACCAAAAAAGCGTACCAAGATCTCCTTGAAGAGGTGGTCTCGGTAAGCCATGTCCCAGTTTGACAAAATTTACTGACGCACAGACACACTCAGTATAAAAACACTGTTCCCAGATCAGCTTCTGTACATGTGATTTAAAGAAGAGCGAAAGGGGAAACTTTGGGATTTGAGTGTGTTTTTAAACAGACAAATACACTTAATAATGTGTAAATGTTCATCCTGGAATCTTTTATTTTAAATACTTTTTTGTCTTAAATGAGCACAAACAGGTATGAAAGTAATCGAATACTTTCTTTTTTCCCTTTATTTTTATGCAAAGAACATACAGAGAATATACAGAGATTTTATCATACATAGTAAAACCCACTTCAACAAACCCTAAATACACTGCCTAAAGAAGGAAAAAAGAAAGGTAATTATAAAAACAATAATAATAGAAAAAAATGCTTAATTTTTTTAAATAAAAGAAGAAAAATAAATAAATAAAATAACAATAAATACATAGATAAATAGAGTGACAACAGTAATGGGTTATACGATCAGGGATAATGTTGTAGGTTAACATAGAAAAAGCTTGAGGTTCTGGACAGAGAAAGAAAATACAAAAGGATTACAAAAAAAAAGATTTCAGTTACATACAAGACAGCCATATTATTCCCCAGGAAGTACACTTATAGCAGAGAAATATGATAGTAAGGGTTGCCAAACATATGAGAATTTGCTAGAAACTCTAATTGAATATTTAATTTTTTACAAGTATAAAAATAACATCAGATTTTGCAGCCAGTGTGATGATTTAGGTGGATTTAAAGATTTCCAGTGCAGTAAAATTTGTCTGCGAGCCAGCAAAGATGCAAAGACTATTATGTTTTGTTGTCTTTGAGTTAGACTCAGTCCGTCAGGTGGAATGCCAGACAAAGCAAACTCTGCACATGCCCTAAGCTGTACTTCACACACGTATAGAGTAAGCTTAGGGCACATCCAAAACATGTGAGACAAGTCTGCTTCGCCTGTGTGACATCTTATACAGGTCTTGTCAAAAGTAGAGTTAAAAGAGGCTATCTGTGATCTACTTAGATGTATTCGTTGTATAGTTGTATAGTTTTGGAAGAACTATCATTTTAACACAGTTTACCCTGCCTGCCAGGGACAGGTAGAGCATCCTCCATTTCTGAAGCTCAGATTTAAGTTTACTCAAAAGAGTTGTAAAGTTCTTTTCATATAATCCTTTGAAGTTTGGTGTGATATTAATACCCAAATATTTAAACTCAGATCTTGTCATGTGGAAGGGAAACACAGAGTCGGGCATTTGCCTGGCAAGTGTATTTACAGGCATACATTCACTTTTGGAAATATTTAACTTGTACCTTGAGAAGGTTCCAAAATCATCTAAAACTTTGAGAATGTCGCTGATGCATGAAAAAGGATCTGAGATGTAAAGGAGTATGTCATCAGCATATAATGAGAGCTTGTGTTCGACACCCCACCTAACTATTCCATGAAAACCAGGTATAGACTTTAATGTTATAGACAGTGTGTCTATTGCGATTGTAAATAAAAGATGACTTTATGGGCACCCCTGCCGAGTGCCCCTTAATAAATAAAAGGTTTTTGACCTCCATTTATTAGTAAGCACAGAGGCAACTGGAGAAGAGTACAACAATTGGATCCATTTGGTTAAACTGGGGCCAAATCCAAACTGATTCATAGCGATAAAAAGATAATCCCATTCCACTCGGTCAAATGCCTTTTCGGCGTCTAATGATACTAAAATTTCAGGTACGTCCTGTGATATGGGCGGGGTAGGGGGGTGTAGAGAACATTTAAGAGACAGCGGATATTGGAAAAGATATGACGCCCTTTTAGAAAACCGGTCTGATTAGCTCTAAGCGAATAGGCATTAATTTTGCTAAGATTTTGACATCTGCATTCTGCATCTGACGATATGAACTACATTTAGTTGGATCTTTTTGGGTCTTCAACAAAAGAATAAACAGTGCTTCGTTGAGAGAGCTTGGTAGAGTTCCTTGAGAAAAAGTGTACAAACATGTTTAAAAGTAATGGGGATAATTTAGCAGAAAGCTTCTTATAGAAATCGATGGGAAAGGCATCAGGGCCTGGGGTCTTGCCACTCTGTAATGCTGATATGGCCTCAGATATTTCATGCAACTGAAGGGGGCGGTCTAGGTCTTTTTTATGATCTAATGAAATGCTGGGAGTATATATTTTATTAAAAAACTCTATCAGTTTAAATGGGTCCTTAGATGCTTCAGATGAATAAAGATTAGAGAAAAAGTTTGTAAATATGTTGTTGATTAGAAGGGGGTCAGTTGTCAGTTGAAATATATTGTGCTGATGATCTAGATTGAGGTTGGTGGGCTAAAAATCAGCTAGCTTTATCACTATGCTCATTAAAATAACCCAGAGATCTAAGAATAAGCTGTTCTGCATGGCTAGTTGAAATTAAATTATATTGTGTCTGGAGACCATTTTTTTCCGTATAGAGTTCTGGTGAAGGAGATGTAGAATACTGATTATCAATTTTAGATATTTCATCAATTAAATGTTGCCTTTTTCCCCCCTTCTCTTTATTAATAAATGCGGTATATGATGTAATCGAATACTTTCATTATAGATCTGTGCGTTCTTAAAGGGACACCTTCACACATATAGTGAGTTTGGATTTCATTTGTACTTTAAATGTAATTATTTTACATTATGACTACAAAAACAATAAATGAAACATTACCTAACCATTCTTATTTTCATAATTTAATTTAAGTCGCAACATCAGTTCAATTGCAAGCCAAGTGATGAAACAGCTTAAATGAAACTTATTTTTAACAGCAGTTTTTGTGGATGTCAAATTCAGTCGCACTAGAATAAATGTTTTGTATTAATAATAAATTCTTCTTGACATGATGCTGACAACATCAATCAACTACAGTGTTTTAAGGGCGTGTCAAATTAGGCATTGTTTGCAGGCAGGCAGCGAATAAAGAGGACAGGCTGACCTTATGCAAATTGCTTACAGAGCTTTATAGATTAGGTACAGAAGCGAAACTCTAATTACGGACTCGTCTCAGCAGTTCACAATGGACTCTTTCTTTTTGGAGATCAAACTAATTTGTGCACTTTGATCTTTAAATTTTAGCAGGCATTTCATTCATAAACAGTTATAGTGCATTTTGCAGCAGATGAAAAGTAAAATCGGAACAAGCATACAGTATTAAGGTCCCTTTAACAATTCAGCTTCAGATATGAATCAAAATGATTGAAGGTCAGATAAATTTGTTAAATCCTGCGTTGTTTAATGTGTGGCAGGTCTTGGTCCGTGAAGAGAATCCAGGAATTCTATATCGATTCAACCCTCCAGTCAGCAGAGATCCTCTGAGCAGTTACTCTTGGCATTATACATCCTGGTCCCGCTGCTCTGCACTGTGTGCTGGAGGTAAGGAGTTTTCTGGTCACTAACTAGCATATTACAATCATTGACACAAGAAAATGCCACTTAAAGGCATAGATAACCTTTAAATAAAAATGTTAAACCTCCTATCTACTTTCAAGATTTGTGTAATATGTTTTTTCTGCAGAACTTTAAAAACGTTTTTATTTTGTTGTTGATAAAAGTCATGGTCTTTGGTGATTTATTAACTGCAAGTAAACTATTAATGTCACTTTTTAAAAGTCAAAAGCATGCACTGAAAAAAGGTAATTAACCCTTGTGTACTGTCCAAATTGACTAGCCTTTAGTTATGTTCATGGCTGTTTTTTTCCAATTGACTTCCATTATAACAACACTTTTGAGCCATAACACCAAATGACAATAATTGAACACAACAATTTTTGATTGTTGGTGTTTTCCTGTTGGGTGGAGGTAAAACATTTTTACTTTTAATCATCAATTATCACCATTAACCCTTTAGATAGGCCTGTGCAAAAAAGGTTTTGTATGGAATTCAATGAGAAAATCAACTCACACTCACTGTCACAGGAGCATGCGCGCACACAAACACACACACACACACACACACACACACACACACACACTAAACTCCATATAACCATATGATTTTAAGCTAGAAACTCTTTTTTTTCCACTGCAGCTGATGATCAAATGTAAATATGTTACACATTTTAGTTTTTCTAACAGGGAAACCAGCAACAATTAAAAATACATGATTATATGCTGTTATGGCTTTGGAATCAAAAAATGTCGGTATGATGGAAGTCAATGGGGCAAAAACAACCAGGAACATAATGAAAAGGGTAGTGAATTTGGCCAGTGTGAATTGTTAAATTTTCGAAAAATGTCTAAGAATTTTCACAAAATATGGGTCAAAATAGGATTTGTCAGGAAAAATCATTCCATTTGCTGAAATATAGAGAAAGTTGTGGCCAAACAGCACATACTGTAAAGGTTTAAGGGATAGTACACCCAAAAACTAATTAACTGAAAATACTGTCATCATTTACTAACCCTTCACTTGTTCCCAACCTGATTGACTTTCTTTCTTTTTCACAAAGCAAGATACTTTGAAGAAAGCCAGAAACCTGTAACCCTTGACTAGTATTTGTTTGTTTTTACTATGGAAGTTAAAGCTTTGGAACCACTTTAGGGAGGGCAAATAGTTTGTGTAAATTGTCATTTTTTTGGGCAAACTATCTCTTTAACACATAAATCCTGATGACTCAAGCGCTTCTCTTGCAGAGTCTTCAGGAACAACAGTTTTGTTAGTTTTTTGTTTTTTGCTGACCTGTATTTACTATTTGAGTTACGAAAAAAAGAGTCAAGCACATCTCTGATTTTCTGAGTATGTTTACATAAACAGTAAATGTTAGTATTTGGATGATTGTCCCTTTAAAGTTTTTCCTCAAAGCAACTGACGTAAATTGTATACGTGTTTCACAGTGATTGCTAAATGCGTAAGAAGATCCAATTTGGTTCACACAAACAGTGTAAATACCCCATGTCGGCTTGTAATGATATACATTAACTGTTTAAAAGGCTGGGAATAAAGCAATTATACAGATTTTATATACTAAGAACCCCAGCTTTGATGTTGCTGTTGATGTTTTTTTGATCCTCAAGCTTTTTTTACATTCATGCTTTGAGAGTAAATGACCCGTGTTTCTTCTTTCTGATAAGAAACTATTAGCTGTAGCTCAGAACTAATTTGCTGTTGAAAACATAGACTCTGTTCCAGAATCATTTTAAGGCATCGTGAAGAATTGATGGCTCACAACCTTAAAGAAGAAAACACAGTGCATCACAGTGCATTAAAATAAATCCATCCTTTGGAACAGAGCCAAAGTATTCAATAAAACTGGCACAACAAACAGAAAAAAACATAAGAATAAACCTAAATAAGAGACTGTATTTACACAAAGACAATAATGAAACATCAAAAGCTTCATGTTTGTCTGATTGAGTTTACAGAAATCAACTGTGATTTTATATAATTAAGCCTGTTCTGTGTGTCACAGGGGTTCAAGTCCAGCAGGTAGTGTGCAAAAAACAAGCTGATCTCTCTGTGGTCTACAATCACTTCTGCGACAAGAAGAACAAGCCCAAAGACAAGAAAAGACCATGCAACCAGGAGCCTTGTCCTCCAACGTGGGTGTTCTGTATGTGTGTGTGTGTGTGTGTGTGTGTGTGTGTGTGTGTGTGTGTGTGTGTGTGTGTGTGTGTGTGTGTGTGTGTGTTTGTGTGTTGCATTAAAATCCTTCCCAAGAGGTCTGATCACATATGTATTATAAGTATGCTTGCTAGGGGGGAACATATGGATTTTCGATCACACAAACTGTGGTCACGGCTGCATTAGGACACAATCAGATGCCCTTATAAGGCATCTCTGATAACTGATTTGACATTAACTGTAACTATTTATACTAGGACTGCACAATGCAATGAAATAAAATTGAGATTTAGACAAATTTGATTTGTAAAAAAACACATAAGCTGTGATTTGAATAAATATATTCAAGTATATGCATTACGACTTTAGAGTTAAGTGAGGCACATTTTAAATCATGAACTGACAGTTTAAATGAAGCTGACACTGCAATAAGCAACCCATATTTTCATTTGCTGGCAACATGTCAATTAAAAAGCTTGTGTTACTTGTGTTACTGTTTAAAATTGAATGCTTGATTTGAATCAGTGATTCATTAACTTTTAGACTCACTCTGAAAAAATCACTTGAGTAAGTTAATCATAAAGTGGAGATTCACTCTGAACAGATAATTTGAATCAACAATTTGTTAACTGGACACTCACTCTGAAAGGTCATTTGAGAAAGTGAATCGTAAAATGGAAATTCACTTTGAACAGTTCATTTGAATCAGTGGAGACTCACTCTGTAAAGCTCAGTTGAGTAAGGTCCAATCCCAATTCTCATTTTGTACCCCTACCCCTTTCTCTTTCCCTTGGCCCTTACAACTCAGAGTTAGGGGAAGGGCTTCAAAATGTACTCTAAGAATTGGGACAGCACCTGCACACGTCATCATATGGCATTTCCATCTCTTGCTTCATATGAGATCAGACGATCGCGACTGCTGTAGTGATTTCAGTTGTGTTATTTTTTGGTATTTATCTTCAGGAGATCACTGAAGGCATATATTATGTCATCGTAACAATCTAATGTGGCAATAAGATCGTAACCGTGCTTTGCATTTACACAGTGGCCATATTCTATTTAAACACACCAAAAACAACATTAACATTATAGCAGACACTGTAAAAAGCCCATTGACAGCCACTAGACTTTTCTGACAGGATATTCGAGTGTCATTGAGTGTCAATGTTGTGGGACTGCTGTACAGAAGTTATTATTAGGCATTATAGACAGTGGAATTAAGCGGATTTTATTTATTTATTTTTTTAAGCATGATAGTAAAACACGAACGCGGTTATAAATATATTAAAACATGTGTTTGTTTGTTGTGACTTCCGGGTGCAGCTGTGGCTGGTGTATTCTGGGAAATTTTTCTTACCCCTTGCTTTCAAATGTGGTCCTGAAAAGTCTTCGTTTGAAGGGGTGTATACCCCTTGCCCTTAGCCCTACGCCTTCAAGCTAAAGAGAATTAGGCCCTTCACAGGCACGCGCAAAACGAGGGGTAGGGGTAAGGGGAAGTGCTACGAGGTAGAATTGGGATTGGGCCTAAGTCAATTGTAAAGTGGAGATTCACTCTGAACAGATTATTTGAATCAGTAAGTTCCTAATTATTTCATAAAATAATTATTCATTGCAAAATGCTGCATGTTTAAAAAACGTAATTGTTATAAAAGCCCAATTGTTTTTTAATTAAATTAAACTTTTAGATCAGGGTGTAGAAAGAAATTTGAACAGTAAAGCACTGATGTCTTTGGTGTGCCTGATAACTTCTGTGCCTGAGATCTTCTGTGTGTCTGTCAGGTGGTGGACAGGAGACTGGTCAGAATGCAGTCGGAGCTGTAATGGAGGAGTTCGCACGCGGGAAGTGCTGTGTAAGAGGAAGATGTCTGTAACAGAAGAGAAAGTGCTGGACGACACAGCCTGCACCACAACACGGCCTTCCGTCACAGAGCCCTGCAACAACCACACCTGCCCACCCGAGTGGCACGCGCTCGACTGGTCAGAGGTAGATGAAAATTCATATCAGCTTACTTCTATTTCTGGTGTCATTTAGTCTTTTAATCTGTCATTGTCTTCCTTTTGCAGTGTACTCCTGGCTGTGGTCCGGGATACAGGTACAGGGTGATTTTATGTAGAAGTGGAGACAACGGAGAGACGCTGCCAGAGTCTGAGTGCCCGAAACAAAGCCGCCCGACCACCAGAGTGCGCTGTAACATACAGCGGTGCCCACCACCTCAGTGGGTCGCAGGTCCCTGGGGAGAGGTGAGATCACATGAATAAAAATGTCCTCAATTAAGCAGTTCTAATCTTTCAGGAATTTCTTTCTTCTGTTGAATTCAAAACAGGATTTTTTTGAAGAATTTTGGGAAAAATCAGCCATTTGCATCTATAGCAGGAACAAAAGATACTGTACCATTGAGTTCAATGGCTGTTTGTTTCCTAACATTCTGTAGTATATTTTTCACTCAAAAAAAGAAAGATTTTTGCTGCTTGTTCAAAGTACTTATTTAAAATGAGCTGAAACAAAACAATTCTTGAGATTTTTTGGGTGAACTTAATTGTTTTATGTTCAATCCACTTTGTTACCTTAATCTAAACCTTTTGTGTTGGGACAAAATGAATGAATAGTGTGTAACCCTGCATTTTTAACAGTGTCTTTTGTGTTCAACTAAAGAAACTTAAACAGCATTAAAACAAGTGGAGGATGAGTAAAGAATGACATTATATTCATTTTTAGGTGAACTATCCCTTTAACATTTCCCAGAGATGGGTTGCAGCTGAAAGGGTATCCGCTGCGTAAAACACATGCTGGATAAGTTGACGGTACATTCCGCTGTGGCGACCCCAGATTAGTAAAGGGACTAAGCCGACAAGAAAATGAATATCCCTTTAACATTCAAACCAGATTATATTATGCCTTCTGTTGTGGTGAATAGCAGGAATATTCTCAAAATAGGTTTTGTTTAGGGCACAAGGCAAATAAATGAAAGTCTTATTCAAGGCAAATAATTATTTTCTTATTTATTTGCTATTTGTTTGTATGAATGCTTATATAAAATGATTATAGACCAAGTGTGCCGCAAGCCTGCGTTTGAGTGAAGGTCTCGGCCGTTAGATCGCCCCCTGGGGGCTGGCTGCAGTACAAGTCATAAAGCCCGCCTCCTCCGTGTTAATAAAGGAGACTTGAGCCCAAATAAAAAAATTAATTACACTTGCAATAAAATGTCCCGAAAGATGGTTCTGGTCGATTAAGGCACTGATTATTGTGCTGAAATAGGTGCAGATCCTCATTTTTGTAAACAGTTTGTTTTTAGCAGTAATTTAATGCTGGGCGTGTCATCGTGATTGACAGCTGTGATTGACAGTTTCTCAAAGCGCGGCGTCTGAGCTTCGGCAGAAGACTGAAGTGTTATTACTCGATTTCTGTGATATTTTACTATGACAAAATGAGTTCAGCAGTAAACTACAGTTTCTGACATACATGATCTGGTGGAACACTGTTTATTCTCTAAGGTCAGAGCTTTTTTCGGGCTTTATTAGTTTGCTAATACACGCCTAGCCACCCAGATAGCAAAATACACTGGGGCCAGTTCTTGCCTGCCGGAGACTTACCCCTCAGACTGACTACCTCTGCTGGACCTACTCCGGATGCCTGGACTCACTGCCCGATTCCAGCCTGAGTCAATTGAGCCAGATGCGGCGGCCGAGCGAGCAGGCGCTGCCGCATGCGAGCCGGAATCAGCCCGCGACGCCGCGACTAGGTTATGCGCTGATGCCCGGAGCTGGCGCGATTGAATCTTCATTATATAAAACCCTCACATTTGTTAACGTTATTACACCCATTTTTGTTGATATAACAACAAACGCATGCTACTATGTGAACGCAAAGTGTATCACTGAGTTTAACCTTTGAATAAAGATGCAAACAGCATAGCAATTATTTAAATAAAGGACAAAATAAATAACAATAAACCTGTATCGATTGCACAAGTATTAAATAATAATAATAATAAATACGAAAATGACAATAAAACTGCACAATAAAATAAACCCATTTAAGTACGGGGTATACAGGAGATCGTTAGCAGTAATTCTCTTTGTGTCTAAATAATAATCTCCACGTTGATCTCCTGTAAGGTTATTTGAACTTGCTTTACAGGACGTCTCTGCATTTTAAGTTTTGGCATGTTTTTAAGTGATCTACTGAATTTGCTGTTATAAATCATTATAACGTTCTTGAAATCGAATCTTATATAACCTAATAGAGCTGTAAATGTTAGATATTATTTATTTACATCATTTACTGTTGGCGTTTTATTTGAACACTCCAGCTAACATTAAAAAGAATGTAAATTCCTCGTTGCCAGATATAATGAAGGCATCGAATAAACCAAATGAAAACGGAGGCAAAAAAATTAAATAAATAAACAATTCAAGCGAAAATGAATAAACAATATACTAGTGATGTTACAGCAGATAGATGTTGTATTAATAGTGCAAAGTTTTTTTGCACAAATTGACAAATTGCAGGGTTGGGATTTGTAAATATCCTGTTGATATTTAGTAATCTTGCTGTATTTATCTTCTAAACGCACGATTGTTCCCGCATGGTAAATCGTTATGGAGTGTAGGCTATATTTTGGGTTCTGTTGATGGCTAATTAAAAATAAAAACCTTTCTAAAAATGTATGTGTTGTTTATATGTTATTGTTCATATTTTACAAGTGTTATTTCTACCCCTATGAAGATAACAAATACCAACAACAAATATAACAGTAAGAGAATATATTATTTGTGCTCATATTCAGGCTAGAGTGTATAAAAGATCGTTTATTTCTGCAGTCCACCATGTATTGCTTTTATTAAAGTTTAACAGCTTACAACACACCGTTTTTAAACCGTATATTATTGTGTTTTTTTAAAGTAAGTGCTTCTATTTACATCAGTGAGCGTTTGTTATAGTGCAGACACCGGCAGTCGAGTGAGAAGTTCAGGGGGCGTGGTTGATTTTACATAAAGCGTTTGGTTGGAAGCTCGACTCCGCTCATTATCGCGGCTCCTCCTCTGGCTCCATCAGACAGTCCTTCTGCGCATGTCTGGCTCCAATTTCAGCAGTCTTTTGCGACAGTTTGTGCCCGTCAAGCAGGCGTTTTGCCCTCAAGGCGTTCAATGGCAAAAGGGGCTGTCGCGTCGTCCATATTTTTTACAGTCATTGTTATAGACCCAGCAAAAAAAATACAGAATAAAAAACATAAAAACCCATCAATACCTTGTTTTGAAAAGTAATTTCTTTTTTAGAAACGGTTATTTAACTGTACAATTGGAGTGAGAATCTTTAGGGACTTCACAATCCGATTTAATTCTGATTCAGGGAGTCACAATCTAATTCCAAAATAATTCTTAACCCAAATATATACCATTTTAAAGCCTATTTCTTCTGCTGTGCAAAATCATCTTTTCAGCTTTACATTGTAACCAGAATTTAGAGTTTCTATGCTTTTGTTTATGATTGGAATCCATGTATGACGGTACTGCCATTTTAAAAATGATTCATTTAATTAACAAAGTTATATTCAAGATGAACAAGATCTCAATGTAACTATGAAAATCCAGAATAAAATCAATGACTTTATTTCTTTCTCTCCCACTATTATCAATAAGTCGAATGTAAAGAGAATCAAAAATGAGTATGCAAAATTGCAAACATAATGGCTTTATTAAAGCACAAATGAAATCGAAGCTAATCATATGATTTTGTTAGCTTACAGTGCTAGTTTTGTGGTGAACAATTCATCTGTGCGTATCATAAGAGAAAAAAAAAGTTTTCCCTTCTAATCTTTAATTGAAATCTGAAAATGCACTTCCTGTTTGTTTGTTCTGTTAAATTCTCAGTTACTTTATATTGAGGTATTGGACTAGGTTAACATACCACACCCCTCCAACTGTCAGAATTGAAGGAGGTGTCTGTTAGATAGTTGTAACTCTCCCCAAACCCTTTTCCTGGTATTTCTAAATGAAATGCCTACTGTACTACATCCATTCAGCTCGCAGTAGAAAAAACAAGCCAAGGCCATTGTTTTCTCATTCAATATTCACTATACGAGAAAAAAAACTGTTGCAGCTTCTGGTTCATGATATGTTAAGTTCCTTGAAAACAATTTATTTTCTCATACCTGTTGGTGCCTGTGTGTATGTTTGTGTGTTGTAGTGTTCTGCGAGGTGTGGAATGGGTCAGGAGATTCGTTTTGTTCAATGTCTGACACACACTGGCCAGCCGTCCAATGAGTGCCCTGAGTCTCATCGTCCAGCCTTCATGCAGCAGTGCAAGAGCAAGTGCGACCACAGCGGCCCTACAGACAACCCTGAAGGTCAGAGGTCAAACAAAAGCACACACACACACGCACATGCTCACTGTTCACATGCTGTCCTGAATGAAAACTCATAATAATTAACTTTTTCCAAATGTGTGTTAAAAGGATGTGTCTGTCAAAGATTTTTTGGGTAAATATTTCCCATAATGGGTGACGCAGGGGCACAGTAGTTAGTGCTGTTGCCTCACAGCCAGAAGGTCGCTGATTCGAGCCTCGGCTGGGTCAGTTGCCGTTTCTGTGTGGAGTTTGCATGTTCTCTCTGCATGGGTTTCCTCCGGGTGCTCCGTTTACCCCCACAGTCCTAAGACATGTACTACAGGTGAATTGGTTAAGCTAAATTGTCCGTAGTGAATGAGTGTGTATGGATATTCCCAGAGGTGGGTTGCAGCTGGAAGGGCATCCGCTGCGTAAAACATATGGTGGATAAGTTGGCGGTTCATTCTGCTGTGGCGACCCCAGCTTAATAAAGGGAATAAGCCAAAAAGAAAACGGATAAATGATAATACACCATGTCTACAACCCACTGCTCCTTTAGCTTTAGTGACAACATTTTCTATAGTTGTATGTATCAGTATTCACACCCTGACAGCCTGTGTGAATTTTCATTTAGATTATTGGATATAATATGCTCTGTCACTGACAAAGATTTAGGATTTACATGCATTTTGTTCATCGTTATTATAATCTTCACAAATTAGCACAACTTTTAAAGCCTAAATACAATTGTCAGAAGTAAATATAAACTATAAAAAAGCTAGACTAACAAACTTGTAGTTTTTTTAATTAAGTAAGTGTTACCACAATGAGGCTGTGAAAACAGGTTAGTGAGTTATGATGCTATTTAAAGTCTTTATAAACTCTGTAGTCCTGTTTAGATGTTTATTAGTGCAAATGCCTTTTTCAAAGCAAGAACAAGGTTCCCAAACTTCTTGAAAGACATATGTCAAAACAAATTTAAGAATTGTGTTGTTTCAGCTCATTTTAAATAGGTAGTCTAAACAAACAACAAACATCATTTTTGAGTGTGTGCTGCTGTCAAAAACATAATGAAAAATAGAGAAATTCTTCATTTTAAAAGCTTAAATTTAAATCTTGTACGAGAACTATGACAGATGATGCATTGTCATTTTTATCAATTTCAGAAACCGCATTTGAGTATTACTAGTATTGACAACCAAATATTTTTTAATTTTTCTAAACAAAATTTTTGTTTAATTTCAACACATTTTGAAAATTACACATTGAAAACATTATCATTACGTGCATATTTTTAATGTAAATATTCTGGTGTAAGTAAAATGTTTCACTTTCATGGCACTGCATATGCTGTAAATTAAAACAGTCCTCGAATCTGCTGTTCATGAAAGAATGGGAACCCTGCAAGTAAAAAAACTAAACAAAACACATGGGGCATTGTGTTTTTGAATAATATATTGAGCAAACAATTCAACCAAAAACACATACAGAACCCCTGACCCATTGTATGATAAAAATGTAAATTATGCCTTTTTTTTATTTGAATTAGTTAAGAAATTCCTTTATTTTGAGGAATTACATTTTTAAAATAATTCTTTTGACCTGGAAGAGATTCACAATTCAAAAAAAATAAATGATTAATTTTTGGTAAGGGAACAGAACTTTGCAAATGCTTTCAGGCCCTTTTGGAAAGTGCTAACGTTAGCTTGATAGCGCTGAAAGAATCTGTCCTGCACTGCAAATCGCCATTCAAATCCACGCCTCTGAATGCATGAGCATTAGACCAGACTAGTAGTTAGTAATAGTTAGTAATAACAATACCTAACTAAAAAAAAGAAAGTAATCTTTTCTGCGCAAACTGGTATGCAATTACATATTTTGACTGCCAAGCAGGACAGTCGATCAAAAAAAAAAATCTTTGGACCGAACATTTTGATTGGATAAACTTATCTTGGCACTACATCATCCACATAATAAAAATAAATAAAATACATATAAATACATTATGACCACGTTATTTAATGATTGCCATGAGAATGTGCAGAGACTTTTAACCAGCATAAAAAAATAGTTTCTCAAGACAATCTATCATCTGTTGCAACTTCAAATGCAATTTGTGACACAACTGAAACTAAATGTTTTAATATTAAAGAAATTCCCCTGCATGCTGTGTGCTTTTCAGATGCATTTTGCATTTTTCTGCACAGTACTGCGTGTGCGACTGACTGCATTTTTTTTCTGTGTCCTGTAGAGTGTAAAGATGTGAACACAGTGGCGTACTGCCCCCTGGTGCTCAGGTTCAAATTCTGCGGCCGTGCATATTTCAGACAGATGTGCTGCAAAACCTGCCAAGGACACTGACCTCTCTCTCTCTCCTCCATACTCAAACACATGCACACAGTTATTTTTCTATGTCTCTCTCTCTCTCACCCTGGTTTTCTTCCTCTCCGCCCTCCCATCTTCTTGCATGGCCAAAACCGCCCATGCTCAGCATTCCACTGGAGGAGCGCAGTCAACCACTTGCAGGCTGACATCACTGAGGGAGAAAGCATGGGGGAAAGAAGAGAAAGAGAGAGAAATGCGGAAAGAACGAGAGAGAATGTTTCTCTCCCTCCGACCAGCTGCTTTGGCACTGCTGCTGTGAAAACCAGTCTGTCCAAAAGACCTCTGTCAGTCTTCGTAAGCTCTTCCGCATGGTGCTCTGGGTCGTCACTTGTCAAGCAGAGAAGTGTTTGTGTGAGCTGTCACACCTGTAGTTCTCAGTGAGTAATAGTCATCTAATGTGATAAAAGATTCATTTACTGACCTGTCCTCTTTACAAACGGACCAATCCCAAATGGCACACTTACATTGCCCTTCACATGCGTCCAGAAGATTACAGGTTGTCGTGTTCATCATTTTAGCTTTCAGAATAGTGCTTGTACCCTTCGATGCACAATTATTTGGAGACCTCTTTCAAACTTGCAATTTGTCACAAAAATGTGGACTCTGGAGGAATAAGAGGATTTAGTGTGTCATTTGGTATTGGTCATAGTCTCAAAGGTGCACTCAGTCATTTTTTTTACATGTAGCTCTTTTTATCTTTGAATTATACTGACATCTAGTGTTGTGGATGATTTATTATGCGCAACAATTGTACAAAGAAAACAACTTTTCATTGTCAGACACTATTTTCTTGTGAGCAAAAGTTTTTAAAAACAAGTTGGCTAGTAATGAGTAGTTTTCACCTGGTGATCTCTACATGGTGTAAATATTTCACTTTACATGAAATATTACATTGTGGAATTGTGTTTTGGCTGCGTTAATCACTGCTCAGCCATATTTTATAGTTGAAAATATAACAAAGCTACTTTTTATTGCCGTTTATAGTAAACTTTTGAAACATTCTGTTATCTGGGTTTTTCATATAAATTACTATGCAAAAGTCAGCTAATGATTGTTATTTTATGGGTTTATTTCTCTATAGTTTTATTGTATGCAATATATGGTTTCAGACTACTAAAGATTTCAATTGAAGTCATTTAGAGTCAAATAAAAAAGTTTAACCGTGAATTAAGGGAAACTGTTATTAGCATATACAGTGGGGGAAATAAGTATTCAACACGTCACCATTTTTTTTTTAGAAAACTTTTTTCCAAAGAAATCCATTTATACAAAGAAAACAGTATTAATTAGTTTACAAATGAAGCTAAAATAAACATTTACAATTGAAAATTAAATGTCACAAGACAAAATTATTGAACACATTAAGGGAGGTGTAGAAAGGCAGTAAAAGCCCAGATTGCACCTGCAATATCACAGTAGTTATTCAGCAATTCTCCGCCCTTCCTCAGTGTAAATGAATATTAGCTGCTTTAATACAACATCCACTTTGCCAGGATGATGAAGATGAAACCAGGGTGGACATTTCAGCAAGACAATGATCCAAAATACAGCCAAGGAAACTCTTAAATACTTTCAGAGAATTAAAATCAATCACCTGACTTGAATCCAATAGAAAATACAAAATGAAGATAAAATTTGATAGACGAGACCCACAGAACCATCAAGATTTTTACACTCTGTTAAGTCTGTGAAAAAAATCACACCTGAGCAATGCAGGACTTCATTCTACATATGAGAGTTGTCTTTAAGCTGGCATCACCAAAAAAGCCTTTTATATAAAGTATTAAATACTTTTCAGTAGTTCAGTACTTTGCCTTTGCCCCTTTGTTTGTGATTTCATTGTTATAACACAGAACCATTTTTTCAGATTATTATCATTTTTTGTATTATTTTTGCTTGTATTGTTTATGTTTTTACTAAAATCTGGTTCAATTCCATATCAACGGGTCCTTTGGATATATTATTCCCAGGAAAAAAACATGACATGTTAAATACTTTTTTCCCCATTGTATTTTTAAGTGCAGGTTCAGATTTTAAACAATTTTCAAAACATGAAAATGTTTAATGTGGAAAAAAATTATTGAGTGCATTTTAAAGGCATAATTCACACCAAAAGGAATTATCTGTTGTTATTACCTCATCTTCATGTTGTTATAAATGTCAAACAAATGTCCATAAAATGAAACTTGCTGTCTCGCTGGGGTCCAAAATAACATTTCTGTATACAATTAAAAAGCACAATTTGACATTTTTCTAAATATCTAATGGTCAAAATTTGTTAGTAGTAATTTAAAACAGGAGAATAAATAAATTATAATTTTTGGGTGAACTATGCCTTCAAGGTCTTTCACACTTTTAGCAATTTACAAAGCAACAAAGTGTTAACAATTTAAATAAATGATTAATTAAATGAGTGGAAATTTTCAGTTCAATATACTGTAAATGTCATTTTTGCTCATTGAGTTAAGTAGAAAACATTTACCAGCTCATTGTGTCTTGTTGACAATCAGCATGTAAATTGCTATCTGTGTGAACGACCCTTTTGGGACTCTTCAGATCATTCAGATATCATAAGCTCTCATTCGGTGTGGTTGGTGCTGAGATACTGTATCTTTAAATCTGACGGCCGTGTGGCCATTTGCAGGTGCTGTTCTGTTTTCATGCCATCTGGTCCCATAATGCTTACACTAAATAATCATAAGATATTGTGCGCCAGTTCAACCTGGATAAACAATTAACTGTTTAACAATTGGAGGGAAACGAGGTAAGGTGAGTTTAGCTTCCGTGCACAACATAACAGTTGTTTAATCAGGCAAAGGACGCTGTTGTTGAACCATGTTGTGGTTATGTCGTTATTTTTAGGCTTTTTTAACCCAAGATAATGTACTGTATTCTCGATGCACCACAAGTGGCCATGTAGCAACTGTGGTGCTCGATTTTGACCCTTGTAACTATTCAGTTTTTTTACATATGAAAACCTTTGAGATCGTATAGTTAGTTGGTCCCAAAAATTCAACCTAATGTATTCTTCTTCATTTGTTTACATATATAAGTCATGCAATAGGTTTTTGTGAGTCAAATATTGAAATATCAATTGTTTGCATTGATGCTACAGAAACAATGGGGTTTGAATATGTACACATGCAGATGAGATTTAAGAGTAAAGGGGAAGAATGTAGATGGAAGTAGTAGTTTTCTGCCATATTTTTGTTTTAGTCTGTTCCTCACAAAAAAAGATAACATGCTACTTTAAAAGAGCTTGGAACAAAATAATGGCAATTAAACAACATTTTTAGTTAATGTTTTATATTTTTAAACTTGGGAATTCAAAATGTTGATTGAATTTCCTTCCAAAATCTGTTCTGTTTCATCGAGTTTTAACCCAAATATACCATCATTCAGCCCAATCTTGCCATTGAATCAACTTACTAGTATCAGTCACTGTTAGAGAGCCATTACAGACCTTCTCCCTGTCCTGGGTCCTGGCAGCACTCTCTTTTGAAGAGCAGATCATGAGAAGATGGCCTCTGTTCGAGGACTGATGGCTAATCTGTGGTGCTACAGTATGGTGCTATGTCTTTATTTGTCATAATCTCAAGATTTATGTTATATATGTATTGTAGGGATTGTTTTTCTAAAGATGATACATTTGCTAAAGAAAAAAATATAAGCAGGATTCTATGAAAACTAAAATTGTTGTTAAAGTCTGCAGAGACACTAACTTTGTAATCATATATTTGGTACAGTTATTATGTGAAAGTAAATTGCTGTTTTGCTTTTGATGGCAAGCTTTGTGTGTTTTTATTCATTTTTAAAATGTTTTGCTTTGTTCCTACATTTGTAGATTCACTTTGGAAATGAAGTCACGCTTGTTTATTTGGACTTAACATAAGTAACGTGCTGTACCTGTGATGTAGTTTATGCCATTTGAATTGTACTTAGACCAGTTGAAATGAATTTGAAATGCAGAATAAAAAGATGCATTGTGTACAAATAAAATAGTTTTGTCTGTTTATATATATATATATATATATATATATATATTTACAATTATTATTATTTTTACAAATGTGTCAAGCCTCAAGTATGTGGGTGTAAGCCATTCTACATCCATTTGCACTGGAGCTTCCTGCTATATTGTACATAAAAACCAACTAACAGCAGCTGTTTATATAATTATTGTTACAAATCAAAGCATTTATTTGCCCTTGAGGCCATGGGAGTACTCTTTATTTGTACAGCTCTTATTAGCGGACTTCTGTTACATTCTCCCTAACTTTCACTCTGGTCCGGGTCACGGCACCAACTCTCTCAATGCTCCAAACAAGATTTTAACAACAGTTTTCCAATGTTGGCTACAATGCATACTAAGATGCTGGAGACCACTATGTTTAAATGTACACTTTCAGAAATAAAGATACAAAAGCTGTCACTGAGGTGGTACCTTTTTCAAAGGAATACTATTGTTCCTTACAGGGGCACATATGTACTTTATAGGTACAAATGTACAAATGTGTACCTCATAGTACAATCAAAAAATAAAAGTGTACCCTAATGGTACAAAATTATACTTTTAAGGTACTAAAGTGCATTTTTAAAGTATAAAAGTGTACCCTTTGAAAAGGTACCACCCCAGTGACAGGTTTTGAACCTTTTTTTCTGAAAGTGTAGTTGCTAGTTTGCCTATTGAGGCCAGGGAAGGGAGTGTTACTTTCCTCCCATCCACCATTTCCATTTCTTGGCTCTGAAACAGGATTCAATCAGGTGTTTCTGGCATGGGAGAGAAACTAGTTGGAACACTAGTAAGGATGCTAAAGTCCACAGTCAACATCTCTTGAGATATGAGTAAGGAATATTCACACTTCTCTTAAAACCTGTGTAAATTTCACCACCATCTGTGTCATTTATTAGAAGCAGGTGTGCTAACAACTATTCCAAAGGCCACAGCGTCTAGTTTTCAAGTATATATCGCTGCTGTCTGGAGACCTCTAAATGGGAGGGACTTAGGCTACAAGAACAGTAGGTTGGGTTACGCTAGAAGGATGACATCTCTGGGTGCTGAGAATGTGCACATAAATAAAAAACTCATTGCTGTAAAGCACAGGTGTCAAATCCAGTTTCTGGAGGGCCACAGCTCTGCATGGATAGGTGTAGACAATAATAAAGCACAATAGGCTGGACTCCCTGTCATGTACAAGGCCTTAATTTGGTCAATCAAAAGCTCGAGGAAGTTTGTGCAGCCTACTTGATACTCAGGTCCCACCTATTTGCGACTGCTCTAAACTCTGTTAATACTTAACTCCAGGTTTAAGAAGTTAGATTGACTCTTCAAGCCACAGGAGTGTGATTTTGTAACTAACTGGCCTCTGTTACAAACTCCCCCCTAAATCTCACATTTGTACAACTTCTTCTAGCTCTCTTGCACAAGCGCTGCATCCAAAATAGCATACTTCCCTAGCATATGAAACAGTATGTTAACAGAAAAGGGTGTCCAAATTCATCGTATGTGAAAAACAGTAGCCTGTAGGCAAGTACCCAAATGACCAACTAACTCCAGTGAGATTTTGAAGAGTGCATGCAATGGATGCTTTACTATCCCATGTAGTAAAGCCCTGGGACACTGATGTTGCATAAGAGCATCCTCATTGGGGGAAAAAAACTGCATTACATTATAGATAAATAATTGGATTGTGACACAGTGGTTAGCACTGTCGGCTCAAAGCAAGAAGGTAGCTGGTTTGAGTCCCAGCTGGACCAGTTGGCATTTTTGTGTGAATGTTCATGTGTTTGCATTGGTTAAATGATAGGGTATATGGGTTTTTCCCAGTACTGGGTAGAGATTGAAAGGGCATTCGCTGCTTAAAACATAAGCTGGAATATTTGGTGGTTCATTTCGCTGTGGCCACTCTGATAATTAAGAGACTAACCTGAAGGAAAATGTATAATAATTGGATCTACCAGCAACATTGATCAACCATTGGAAACAGTTTGCATCAATGCTCCCTGATTTTCAATTTGCATTGTGGGAGTTTTCAGGGAGCAAATGTTCCAGCGCACTTGAAGGATTTTAAAAAGGCTGACTCCCTGATCAGTGCCCTGACTGCTTAATAGATAGATGTAGTACCTACTTGGACTGCATGCAATATTGCACAAGCAGAAGTGCTAATAAGGACAATCATGTTCACCATGCATATTCAGAGTCCTTCCAAAATAGTTACTACAAAGGGAACTTCAGGATAAATGTTTATGTCACATTCCGATCCCATGTTTCTTTGCATATATTAAATTAGTGTTGCAGATGACACCAAAGTCCCATTCATCCCTTAATCAAAGCTCTTACTCTGGAAGGTAATCACTGCAGGAATCAGGACATAGAGGTAAACCCTTAAGAACGAAACTGACAAAATAAAGAAGTTCACACATGAGCGAGGGTGTGTTCAGTTTTGGTGTTTTGCAGGATGTGTGTATGTTTTTTATTTCATATGTTTTTTTTTTTGTCATTCACTCACCAGGAGGGGCTGCATCCTGTCACACACCTCAGAGTAACGGCTGACCTGGAACCTATTGCAAATGATCGTAAGGGGCCATGAGTAAGACCAGTTATGAGTTCAGTCTGTTTGTAGGCGTATATATGCGTGTGTACAGCCTGTGGTGAAACAGCATTGCAACTTCTTCTTGTCTCACCTACAGGGTTGAGAGAGTTTGAGGAAGTGATCTGTGCTCAGTGCTCACAGTCCGCTTCCCTTCACTAAACCTTCACAGCTCTTGTGCTGTAGAGTCTGCTGGTCATGGGAAGGTGCTGAGAAACCGTAGGATTGTCAAAAATCTCATCGGCAGAAGAAACACAAAACGAAGTAGAAACAAGCAGCAGCAGCAGCACAATGGTAAAGTGGCAGAAGTTTTATTTTCTCATTGATTATGTTGATTAAATTGCAGTCATTTTTTGTGTCACCCTTTAATATGCCAGTAACTGAGTGAAAAAGGTTTTTCTCATACACAACTGCTTATTCTGATCGTCCTTTGAAGAGTTTTCTTCTGTATAAAGTCTAAATGGTTGAAGCAACTCGGTGTAGTATGTGTGAAACTTACTGAAAAGGAAGCTTAAATCATCACTAACAATTCCTCATATTGGAATCTGATCAACCTCTTAGTTTAATCCAGTTAAGCTCTTAGTTTATTGTGAATTTATTAGCACACTGGTTATCAATCAAAGGTTGCTGTACCATGAGTCAGATGCTCAGGTGTCCTCTGCTGAGGGGAATGTGAGGCTTTCATGATGTCAGGGGTGGCAGGAAAGCAGTTTGATGCTGGGGCGGTGACTTTCTTGACTCTGTGCGGCGAGAGATTTACAGAGGATTCTTTCGCAACGGCACCCAGAGGTGGGAGGGGAGGAGTGGGGAAGTATGTCAGAGGGGACTTGCGGTTCCTGCCTCGATACTTCCTCACTGCTACTGCTGCTCTCTGAAGCCTTGCATTTTTCTCAGTCAGCTCTAAAAGATCCAGGATACTGTTCAACCAACAGGAACCACTTATATAAAGGAACCACTTATTTGTATTGTTGGTCACCAACAATACAAATTCTGTCATTAATAATTACTTTGTTGTTATAATAATGTATGGCTTGTGTTTTTCTGTGGAATATAAAAGAAGATATTTTCTAGAAGGGACTCTCTGAAACTCTCAAGCAAGTGACTTTCATTGTATAGACAAATATAACTCAGTTTTCATAAGAGTTTTTTTGGGTGTTTACAAGATCGCAGGTTTACGTTTAGTATTGCACTCTTAAAACTAATAGGTTGTTTAAATTCAGATTTTGGTTACACGTGGACAACACAAAATATCGGGATTTTTTTACATTTTAACCCAAAAATTGGGTTTTGTCTATACATATTTGGTTTTTGAGACCACCCAGCAAGTTTTAAAGTGTGGTTGTAAAGTGGGAAGCTAGTGATGAGGCCATTCCGAAATAAGTATTTTTAACTATATGTTTTAATAGCTTCTGACCATAAAATGAAAATACCTGTATATGTTAAACTCAAAAGATACTCTTTCGGTATTTATTTATTTTTTTAAATAAATCACAATGACCTGCTTAGCCAGTTTTCTGAATATGATTGTGGATATGAATATGGCATGCCACAGTCAAGTATTTTCTCCTTTTTTGGTTCTTGCCATCTAGCTGTCTAAGCGGAACATAAGTGATGTCATCCTTAAATATGCTGAAGAATAAAATATTCTCTAATGAGATAAAAAAAACACCAATTCAATTCAGTTTATGCTTATTTCTATAGCTCTTTTACAATGTGGATTGTGTCAATGTAGCTTGACACAGTTTTAGAGTTACCTAAACCCAATGAATATTATATGTACTGAAAAAACTTGTCCTTTTGTGTTTCACAGAAGAAGGTTATTTGTACATGTTTGTGAACTGCTTATCACACCTGCTAATAGATGTCATCATTTTATCTTGCCTCATCTCATTAGGTCATGTTATCTTGTACAATGTCTTGATATTTCTGATTGACACACAATGCCAGTTTTTGAACATGAAGATGAATGCATTTTCCACTGTTTTAGTTCTATAAGAGGAACAGTAGTGACGCTACACCAAAGTAGACCTTTGAAGAATGATTCATACATTTTTGACTTTTAATGGGACTCTAATCTTAATTAAATGCAGGTTGATTCATGGAAATGAAATCAAAAACACAATTGAGCAAAGCTGTGATTGTAATGCACATCTGGTCAGGGAAGCACAGTTCTGTGATCAGTAGTTAATCTACTTTTAAGAGGACAGAGGGCGCTTTCATACAAAAAACAAACACTCATGAAGAAGACACTTAAAAAATCTGTTTCTTAATATGCGTTTTTCAGCTATCTTGCGTCCTCATGTTTTCGTGTAACGTCATCATCAACTGCTAAAGTTCAGTTTCAAAACCTAAGTCCGCAAAAACGTAGGATGCCTGAAAGTTCCTGGATGTGTTCTTGATATCAAGGACGCATCGATGCAGACTTGAGCACTAAACTCGCTCTAGAAGTACCAGAAGTCAGTGCGACTGGAATTGGGAAGCGCAGCATTTTATATATTTAATATAAGTTTAGAGATGTGAATTATTTGTCTCAGGACTTTCCCTAGATGAAACTGTGAAAGTAAACATTAACATGAGAATCGTTTAAAAGGCTTAAACACATTAAGGGTTTTTATTTGCTAAAATTCATATTAAAATCTGTTTAATTTGTATTGTGCAACGTATATTTGTAAAGTCTATATGCATAGTGTATATTGTGTTTAAATCATTATATGAATTCTGTAATGTTTACATAATTTTCAGTTAATAATGCGAGAAGGTCATGTGACCATCAGGAAGAACGCAGCATCTCATTTCTCACAGGATGCGTTCTGTGTTCTCTTGGTCTCCTGAGCTCGTTCTTTTAGTTTCCGATTGAGTTCGTTCTTCCTGACTTATTAACCAATATGACTATGGAATCATCTCACAGGAGTTGTTTCAAACACTCAACTAAAGTTTAAAGTGACTTTAAAACATAGTAATTTCACATGCAACATTTACTACACAGAGCTATAGTTCATTGTTGAAAAGCTAAACAAACAGCTGTCATTATCACAGAACGATTATCTCAGTGTCATTATTGTCAGAGTTTGAAATCGATTTTGCTTTGTTTGTCAGTGACTCTGTGTTGTAAATGCTGCTCCATCTGAAAGCATGTGACTTATGATTTAAATTACTTTTGTAAACATAACAACGCAACAGGTGAAATCTGTACTTATACAGTTAAGGTTAGCACTCCTGAATTATTTGCAATTTTTTCCCAATTTTGGTTTAATTGTCATCCTAAACATTTCTAAACATAATAGTTACACATTACACATAATAGTTAAACATAGCTAACTTCTAATAACTGATTTCTTTTATCTTTGCTATGATGACAGTACATAATATTTTACTAAATATTTTTCAATATACTGTACTAGCACTCTGCTTGAAGTGACATTTGAAGGCAAGTATTGGTTCAGGAGGCTAATTATATTGACCTTAAAATAGTTTAAATGCTTTTGTTCTAGCCAAAATAAAACAAATAAGACTTTCTACAGAAGAAAGATATGATAGTAAATACTGTGAAAATGACCTTGCTCTGTTAAACGTCATTTAGAAAATATTTAAAAAAGAAAACCAAACTCAAAGCAGAACCAAAAATTTTAGGTTTAACTATATCTGTCAAGGTTGTCATGTGTAGTGCACTGAATTAAATTTCTTCTTCCCTTATTTATTAAAAAAATAACTATCAGAATCACTCATTTCCGAATGACTCACTATGCATTTGCAATTTCAATGTTGAGTGGATGATGCCAAGGCTTTTAAATGCTTATTTTTCACTCTGCTCAAGCTATTTTCAGGCATTTTCCACTTTAATTGTCTAGTTCATGTTGCAATGAGGAACAAAAGTGATGTCATTCCATGATATAGTCATTTCAGCACAATAAGCAACAAGCATAGCTTTATTCTCAAGCTAATGAAGAGTAATCAGAACAGCATTTCACAGTTTCATATTAGCACGATACATCAAAAGTAAAGATCTATATCATTGTTCACCTCAAAATTCAAATTAAAAAAATGAAGATAAGAGTCTTCGATATATTCTGTATGGTCTCTTTCATGATTTTGATATTATTATATGTACAGTGCCTATGGAAAATCGTCACCTTTGAATTAATTAATGTGTTTGTCTTACAGCCTGAAATCAAATCACATTCCAAATAACATTTACAGCCTTTTAATATGTTCTCTTCTCTTAACCAGTGCCTTTCTACAACTTTATGCCGAAGGTCTTTTGAATGCAGGATGTAATGTGAGTGAAGTTATCCAGATAGCATAAGAATGTGGGACACTTTAGGCAGTTATGTGCACTGGTGGTATTCCTTTGGCCCAAACAAAATGAATGTGAGCCTGAAGTGGCCCAACTGTACAATAGCAAAGTGGGGCCAAAGATTCAAATTCATATATGGGCCATTTAAGGCAAAAATTTGGCACCTGTGGCAAAATGTAATCTGCATGTGAGCCCAATGTGGAAAATGATCAATTTCGCCCAAATGACTGAGAACAAATGTGGGCCACAGTTGGCAAAATAGTGGCAATATAAATAACAATGCAATAATCAAGCCGAGAGAAAATAAAAGCATCAATTAATTTCTTAGCATCATTAAAAGATAGGAAAAAACTAATTCTGGCAATATTTCTCAAATGATAAACACATGTTTTTGTAACTTGATTAATATAAAATTTAAAATTAAGATCACAATCGAAAATATACTTAGTTACTTTTTATGGTAAGTAATGGGTTATGTTACTTTTGAGTTACTTTTAAGTTACTTTTTATTTCTTGGCTGAGGCTTGCAATTAACAACGCACTGTATAACCTACATTTACCTTTTAAAAAACACATTACAGGAAAATATTTTAGGATAATATTATCTGACAACTTCCTAATTCCAGAGCTATACATGTCAAACAGTATTCATTCATTCATTTTCTTGTCGGCTTAGTCCCTTTATTAATCCGGGGTCGCCACAGCGGAATGAACCGCCAACTTATCACACACACTATGGACAATTTAGCCTACCCAATTCACCTGTACCGCATGTCTTTGGAGTGTGGGGGAAACTGGAGCACCCGGAGGAAACCCACGCGAATGCAGGGAGAACATGCAAACTCCACACAGAAACGCCAACTGAGCCGAGGCTTGAACCAGCGACCCAGGCGAACGTGCTACCCACTGTGCCACTGCGTCACCCTCAAACAGTATAAATAGATTTATAAAAGTTTAAAGCGATGTGTTTGCTACTTTTGTACCATTTGTCTTAAGTAAA